TCCTTCCTTCCTTTCATTCTTTCTCCCTTCCTTTCTTTCCAAATTACTATCATTACCCCCACTCTGTCTCTCTCTCTCCCTTGTCTCTTTCCCACCCTCTCACTCTGTCTCTCTCTCTCTCTACCTCCTCTTCTCCATTCCTCCCTTCCACCTGCCCTTCCTTCCTATCTAGGGCCCGTTGTCTACTGCCACAACAGGATTTGCTTACTACTAGTCTTCAATAAAGCTTCACTGCCAAAAGTGTTGTGGAGAGTGTTTTGACTGGGGATCTGTCAACTGATATGGTTGCTCAAGATGGAGAGATTCTTGAGCAACTAGGAGACAGCACTGTTTTAAGTTCATTGCTCTGCCCCTTCCAACCCTAACACTCTTATTCCCACTCCAAGGGTTTTCAGAAAGCCACACACTCTTTTCCAATTTCACTTCAGTGCCAGTTCCTGTCCTCAAACTCACAGAGAAACCCAAACTCTCATTTCTGGTAGAATGGCACCCCTCCCCTCCTCCACCTGTCTGTTGTGCATCCTACATGAAGCAGGGTGATTTGGCAAATGCAAGTCAATGCCATTGGTTTGCATGCAACTCATGCAGCAGACCCAGAGCTGATTTCAGCACTGGGACTATTTTAGCAAGGAAGGAAGGAAGAGGGGAGAGGAGAGAAAGAGAGAGCAAATGAGAGAGACAGTGTGTGAGAGAGAGAGCCGGGGGGGGGGGAAGCAAATGGGGGGGGGGTGAAAGAAAGGAAGGAAAAGAAGAAAGGAAAGTCAAGCCGCAAGGCAAGCAGCCTAGAGGTGGGGGAAAACCGGCTCCCTGGCCTCTCCTCACTTCTCACACAGTTCAGTGTTGGCTCCTCCACACCCACGCCCAGTACTGGCAAGGGGAGGCCCACTAGGAGCCCCAGGCTGCAGTCTCCTTCAGCGGTCCGAGGGGGGCGGGAGGCGCGTGGCCTGGGCATCCCCAGACCTGTATCCCTGCCGGAGCAAATCTTCCTTTTGAACGAGGAGAATCGGGCTCCCCTGGCCTGTCTCCCTCCCTCCCTTTCCCCATTTCAACCTTATGCACCTTTCCCTCTTTTCCTTACCTTGAGTGCAGGAGGAGGCCGGGCAGCGAGGCAAACGGGCGGGGAAGAGCCAGGGCCTCAGGAGACTGCAGTGAGGCCTTTGTCAGCCAGTCCCCGGCCAGTGACAACAAGGCCAGGCCATGTGGGAGAAAGCAGCTGCTGGGCTGGAAACAGCCCAAGTGATGCTATGCAGCCAGGTGAGCTGGCCAGGAGGCACAGTGTGCTTCCCCCCGGTGGCCCCTCCTGTGGGCCCCGTTCAGGCCCCACCACAGGCCCACCAAGGAGGAGGGGAGGCCCAGGTTTTCCCGCTGTAGCTGTCACCTGGCCATGGGTGAGTCAGGGCCCTCACTTCCCAAGGCTGCGTCCATGTGGCCGCCTTCTGGCCCGCCGGCCTGGGGGCCCCACCGGCATTCAGCAAGGAGGGCCGCCCTCCTGGCCTTGGCTGCCAGGAGGGAAGCTGGCCACCGCCCTGGGGGGGAAAGCCATGCACTAACCATTAAACAGAGGGAACCCTGCTTCCGAGCATTCTCTGGGGATCTGACCCTTGTGTTTGCCCTTCACCTTCCTTTTTACTCTTCCTGTCATGTTTGTAAAGTTCCCTGTTTTGAAATCAAATGTTACTCTTTTGGATTTTAGGGGTAACTTTCCATTGATCTGAATGCTGAATTTTATAGCATTGGGGTCACTGTTCCCAGTTAGTGTAACAACCTCTACATCTCTCACAAGGTCTTGAGACCTGTTCAGAACCAAGTCCATGATCACTGCCCCTCTCGTTGGCTTTGTGATCAGCTGTTCCAGTGCATAGTCTTTTATGATGTTTAGGAACCTCATTTCTACGGCATGAGTCAAGCACATGTTTACCCAGTCAATGTGAGGGTAGTTGAAGTCTCCCAGCATAATAGTATCTGCTTTAGTCACCTCTTATTTCCTTCTCCATCTCAAGATCAGCCTCAAGGGCTTGATCAAGTGGGCAATAGTACACACTCCACCTTTTAAGTAACCTTAGGGCCCAGTATTCCCACCCATATTGCTTCTGTTGGGGAGTTAACTCCCCTGATGTTGTCTAACTTATTTAATTCTATGCCCTCTTCAGCATACAATGCAACATCAACAATAACCCATCCTTCCCTGTCCTGCCTATATATGTTATACCCAGGTATGACTGTATTCCATAGATTCCCCCCCACATTTCACCGTGTTTCTGAGCCCACGTGCGGGGAGGGCGGGGTAAAAATGTTTAAATAAAATAAATAAATAAATAAATAAAAAGATACCTATCTAAATTGTCACTGAACATCAAGCAGTCCTGGTCCCCCATCTTGGCTTAGAGACTCAGCATTGACATACAGACACCTATAATGTGTTTTATTCTCCAGTAACCATCACTTCCCCCAGCCCCTTAGTTGCCATACACGGCCCTCAGTCGCCATCATGCCCTCACTCCCAAGTTCTATTATGCTCTTATCAGTATTACCAAGCGCAATCATCCCTTTGGAGGACTGACTTGTCCCGAACTGGAGGCTTCCCAACTTCTGTCAGCTCCCACCCACCCCGTTTAGTTTAAAAGCTGCTGCGACATCTTTTTGATATTAGTCACCAGCAGCCTGGGGTTTTGGTTTTTTTTGTACCTTCCTCAGCCCCAGAGCAACATGACATTCAATAATTTAAATCATTCAATAATTTGCACTTTAACAGTCTTGTTAGTGCAATGTTTTCACACAATAATATTCATTTTAAGCTACATATCCTTCTCTTTTCCTTCTTCATTTTGTTCCCCAAATTCACAGCCATTATTTCAGGAATGCTTTCTTTCCTTCTTTCCAGATCTGTGTGTGTCCCCCTCCCCCCATAGCTAGCAATCCAAAACAGTCCAGTGGCACCTTGAGAGCCGGTCGAGAAAGAGGTACTTTTCTCCCTTTCTCACGAGACAAGAACTCCTTGTGGGCACTCCATGAAATTGCTGAGCAGCCAGGTTAGAACAGATAAAAGGAAGTCCCTCTTCACCCAAAGAGTGATTCACGCATGGAATTCACTGCCACAGGAGGTGGTGGTGGGTACAGGCATGGATGGCTTCAAGAGGGCATTGGATAAGCATATGGAGCAGAGATCGATCAGTGGTTATGAGCCACAAGGTATAGATAGGAACTCTCGATCTGGGACAAGGGATGCTCTGTCTTCTTGGTGTTTGGGGGGGGGGGCAAGAGGGGGGGCCCCCCCCCACTGCTGGACCTCCTGATGGCCCCTGGTATTTCTGGCCCCTGTGTGACACAGGAGTGTTGGACTGGATGGGCCACTGGCCTGATCCAGCATTGGCGTCTCTCGTGTTCTTATGTAAGGTTTATTCAGGCACCAGCTCTCCCTCCTCTGTGAGGGCAGATATGCATGTTTTCTCCTCCCCGCCCCGCAGGTAGCCATCCAAGAGAGTCCTCCAGTGGAGCCCGAGCGGTGGGGGTGTTGCCTTCTGACCGGCTTCGGGTGATGCCAGGGGGGGGTGTGTGGCGGCAGGGGCGCTATGCGTTGTTATGGGAATGCGCTCCTGCAGCTCTCTTCCTGGGGCAATGGCCCCTGCCCGCAGAGAGGTGCCTCGTTCGGATCCCGTGGAGTGATGGCGCCGCTGTCCTCCGCTCTGCTCAGAGCTCACCTACCCCCGTTCCCCCCAAAATGAGCCCTAGCGGGATTTGTGGTACAGGCCCGAGTGGGTCTTCTTGAGAAAAAATAAATATATGAGACCGTGTCTTTATTTTCGGGGAGACACTCGAGTGCTGCGCCGGGTTCTGGGCCCCACGACTGACGGGAGGAGGCCGAGAAGCGGGGCCGCGTGCGGCGGGGGCGGGGGGGGGAGGCGAGAGGGCCGGCCGCCTCCGAGGGCCTGGGGAGGGCAGCCCGTCCCCGCCGCCGCCGCCGCCGCCGGCCCG